TGCACATTTTGTGAGCTTTGCTTTAGAATGGCCTTGCTTCCCTGGAGGTCAGCAGATGGACGGCTTGCTGGCTTCACTGGGAACTGCACTGAACATATGCTTAAAATGTTTTCAAACAGCACACTGCTCCCCATGGAGCCAGAAAGAGCCCCTTGCCCCTAGAAAAAGGGCTCATTTGTGTTTAAATCCGACCGCGGTGGAAGACTTGGGAACACAGTGAATCGCACATCCAAGTCTTGTCTTCTCCTCGGGAGTCGCTCGCCCTGTGGTAGCACTCACCGCACCGGCTCTTCCCTCTGCAGGCTCAGTACTACGGGGTGGTGAGCGTCGGCACGCCGCCGCAGGAGTTCACCGTGGTGTTCGACACGGGCTCGTCCAACTTCTGGGTGCCCTCGGCTTACTGCATCAGCGAGGCGTGCAGTAAGACGTGCTGCGGCCCCTCGCGTTGCGTCTCGGGCGTGAGGAGGGCCCTTTCTCCCTCTCAGGGCAGCTCCCTGGCCAAGATGTAAGCTTCTGGGCTGAGGAGTTGCAGCTGGATGGCTGCACTTCCCCTGGGCAATATTGGCATTCCGGGACTGCAACTCAGATCCTCTGTAACTCAGTGTATGCCTCCAGGAAGGCCCAGCCTGGACGTTCAGGTGGGCACAGGCCTGGCAGGGGTTTCTCCTTCCTCTCATGAGGCCACAGGGCTTCCAAGGGCCAGCAAAATGCCAGACATGGCCTGATGGGATTGCTGGGAGCCGGGAGGGCAGGACTGGGAGGGTCCTCAATGCTGCCGTTCCTGTTCCCTCCAAACGGGCTTTCGCGGCAGCGTGGTGGTGGGGAGCAGACGCGTGTCCCCACACCTGCCGTTGCCTGTTTTGCCTTGTGCAGGGGTGCACCAGAGGTTCAAGTCCTTCCAATCGGACTCGTATGAGCACGGAGGCGAGGCCTTTTCCTTGCAGTACGGCACGGGGCAGCTCCTGGGCATTGCTGGAAGAGACACGCTGCAGGTGAGCGTCTGCCCAGGCCAACAGCCAACCAAGCGCATCCAATACTGGCTTTTTCCTGCAAAGCCTTGTGCAAAGAGCTTGTTTCTCTTGATTGCAAGCTCCTCTGGTTTCGGTCACACAAGAAGCTTCAGCCTCTGTCCACCACATTTCATAACCTGAATGCGCCAACATGCATCCCAAACACACGTAGTTTCTTCTGGTTGATGCTGCCTTTACTCTTTATTTATTTTTCTGAGCAGATCAGTAACATTTCCATCAAGGGGCAGGACTTTGGCGAGTCGGTGTTCGAGCCGGGAGTAACGTTTGCCCTGGCGCACTTTGATGGGGTGCTGGGCCTGGGCTACCCCTCGCTTGCTGTGGGCAACGCGCTGCCCGTCTTCGACAGCATCATGAACCAGGGGCTGGTGGAGCAGCCCCTCTTCTCCTTCTACCTGAAAAGGTCGGTCCTGGAAGCCGCGGTGGCAAAAAAAGTGATTTTCCATAGTGTGTCCTGAAAGAGATATCGGGGGGAAGCAAAGCAGATGAAGTCTTGCACCTGAAAATGCTACCAAATCTATGCATTTAGGGTTTGTTTTAGCTCTCTCTCTCTCTGCTACATTATATGTAATAAGCACAAACAACTAAGAAAGGAAAATAACCCTCCAGATTTACAAACTTTATATTATAAATTTATATTTATATAAATACTTTTATATGTCTAAAAATACTTATATATGTCTAAAAATATTTCTGTGTGTATATAAAATACTTATATATGTGTATAGCTTATATAATCTATATATTTATGCACATATATCATATGCTGTATATGCTATACTGTATATGCTGCTGTACTATAGATTATATATGCTGTAAATTTATATAGTAGAACTATTTATACAGTTTATATTTATATAGTCCAGATTTATATTTGTTTATAATTTTATTCTAAGATTGTCTAGAATTTTATTCTATATTTATTTAGATATTGTTTTATATTTAAATATAACCATTCAAGAAATTAAAAAAGAAAAAGACACCCCTCCTTAAGTCTCCTATCCTGACAGAAATTGGTAAAAAAATAATTTGATTTTGGAGACTGGCGGATTCCTTCCCATTTTCTTCTTTATTTTTCACTTTGCAATTGAAAAAAAAAAAGGAGGTGAAAAGAAAAAGTATTTGAGGGAGAACCACGATTTTTTTTGAACAATTAGCTGTTCTTGCTAAAGCTCATCAAGAAACAATCCAAAAGCCCCCAGCTCAGTCTTAAAGTATTTTGAGATGCTAGACTTTTTTTTTTGGTGAGTGGAGAAGTACAGAAATGCATTGCTACACCCAAGTGGCCACATTTGGAAAAAGGAAATATTTGTTCCCAAGACTGAATAGAGTAAAAACTTCACAAAAACATAGATGTATCTAGTGTTTATTCTGAGGTGAGACCCACAGTTCGCTTAGCCTCTTCCTAGTGGCTCTCTTCAATCCTCAGCCACCTATGGTAAATTTTCTCAGGGGTTGTTCAGATGCTCTGAATGGGGACATGCCCAGTTATAACTTTATAATAATCTCTATCCTCTGTGCACACATGAATTTAGAAAAGGCTGTGATTCATCTTTTGCTTTTTAAAATATAATCTCATCATGAACCATGTGTGAGGGCCTGCTCTTATGTTTGCGTTGACTGGTTTTATGTTTTCAGAGGAGAAAACACGGAGAACGGTGGTGAGTTAATCCTGGGGGGCATCGACCATTCCCTCTACAAAGGCTCCATTCACTGGGTCCCGGTCACTGAGAAAAGCTACTGGCAAATACATCTTAACAAGTGCGTATGGAAGCAATGCCAGCAAAATTCACCTCTTCTATAAAACTTGCAGAGATAGAAGAGCCTTGCAATGTGCTTGCAGAACACCTTGTTGGTGTTTTGCTTTTGCAGCTCCCGAAGAGCGGGCTTTTTGGGAATACGTTCTGTAGGGCATTTTAATATCTTCTAATATGACTCCCCAAATGGTCAAGTTGACTCTCGGGGGATTATTCAGACAAGGGGTTAAGGCACCAAGAAAACAAATCCAGCTCTGGTTGCAGCTGCAATCCTTCTTTTTAACCATGGCCAAAGCAGTCAGTGGCCCTCAGCTTCTGCTCCTCCTGTGCTCAGTGACGAGGATGCAGATCTCATGGGTGTCACCTTGTGCGTGTGGACAAGTTCATCAGTAGACAGCAAATGATCAGCACTGCAGGAGTCCTAAGATTTTATTTATTTATTTATTTATTTTCGCTTACAGTATAAAGATCCAAGGCCGGGTGGCATTTTGCTCCCATGGTTGTGAAGCCATCATCGATTCGGGCACCTCTCTCATCACTGGCCCCTCTTCCCAAATCAGGCGGCTGCAGGCCTATATCGGGGCGACACCATCGCAGATGGGAGAGGTAAGTTCAGCTGGGGTGGGAGGGAATCTCTTTGGTCCGTGGAGCTCATTGGCTGCGGGAGGGGAGAGAATAACCAAAAGAAGAGCTCAGGAAAGGTCTTGGGGAAGGCTCTCAATGCAGAACCAGGCCTCCCAGGTGTCCATGTCCTCTTCCATGCTCTTCAGGCTTGTGTGGAAGGAGGTGATGGGGGTATCTCAAAGAATTGCTCTGTTGCTGTCAATCAGGGCCAATGTTTTGTACCAACTTCAGACAAGCTAAGTATATTGGCTCAAATATATCCTCATGTGAGTATGTGCATTCATCAGTGATTTTGCCAGAGCTTCTACTTCTATCCAGGGAAAATTCATTTTTCCTAGATATATTAACTAGGTAAATTAAATTATGTTCAGCTTCTCATGTCCTATACTGGCATTTTAGTAGTTCTGTAACTCTTGACCTCTGTGAGCCCCTGTTTGTTTTGTTGCTATACTGATATGACACTTCGGAGGCATACAGAATAGTTAGGAGTATGTTTTCATAACACAGATTTAACAACAAAACAGAGGGATCTTTCTTACGGAAAACCTTGCAAGCGATGACTTTAAACATCGCAAAGATCCCTCTGGGGCTCAGAGCCTTCTGCAGTGCTCCTGAGCATCCCAGTTGTTTCATGAAAGAAATAGAAAGGCTGGGAAATGTTCCTCTGCGTTATTGTAAGTGCCTGCTTATTTGTACACATAAACGGACTTGCTCTGCTCTTCCAACTCCACTCCAGGGCAGAGTGAAGTATAAAACCTGGTGTTCCCCCAGGCTTTCTGCATGGGCCCCTTCCTGTAAACATAACACGCTGCTGAGCGCGAGGGCAGAGCAACCGTCCCAAGCACAGGAGTAGTTTTCTTTGGCAGAGTCGTGGCTTACTCGTGTCTCCTCTGCAGGGAGGGCACTGTGGTTCTCATGAGCTCGGCTTGGCGTCTGAGCCATGCATGGGTCAGGATGCCCCAGCCTTGCTCATTTTGGGGCTCATGAGGGCTTTTGTCAGCCCTGCTCCTCAGGGTCTCTGAGTCTGATGGTGTGGCCTGGTAGCGTGGGCTGACCCTGCATGGGAGACAGAAAGCAGGAGAACAATGCCAAGACGTAAGTCATCCTTAAGCTGGTTTGGGTAGTAAATTCACTGTTGGGGCAAAATTCCTGAGTTCCAAAAACAGCACTATAAAGCAAAACATGAAACAAAACTCAAACCAATCCTGCATCAATGACCGCATTGCACACAGTACGTCATAGACTGCAGAAGACTGTCCAGCTTGCCCCACATCACCTTCACCATCGGGCACCGCGAGTACAAGCTGACGGCCGAGCACTATGTGATACAGGTGCGTGTGCTGGGGCGGCGCGCGGCGGCTCCGCGCGGGCCGGCCTCGAGCGCCTCTGCTCTCCCTTGCAGGAGTCCATCGACGACCAAACCTTCTGCATGAGCGGCTTCCAGTCGCTGGACATCAGCACTCGCACCGGCCCGCTCTGGATTTTGGGAGACGTCTTTATGTCCGCCTTTTACTGCATTTTTGACCGTGGGAATGACAGAGTGGGATTTGCAAAATCTGTGCATTTCCACTGAGTCCCAATGGGATTTTTGCCTAGACCCGGGTGTTACTGTAGTGATCTTCAGCATACACAGGAAGAAGGGCTTTGTCTGAATCCCTGGACTTGAATACAGCCCCCCAGGTTTTAAGGGCTTGGGGTGATCCTTGGACCAAATTGTATAGTTTGGTCCAACCTCTCTATGTTTACAGCTGAGAAACATTTTTTTTTTGAATATCTGATAAATGTCACAGCTCTCTAGATGATGTGAAAACAGCTCAACACTCAGATTTGCAAAAGAAGGGTAAAAAGCCAAGCAGCACAGGGGTGATGTGACAGCAGTTACAAATGGGTGAAAACAATCCTCGTCTGATCTGCCTCGAAGATTTTCCTTTTTCTTCTAGCCTGTCATCTTTCATTTCATTTCCTGCTGGTTTCCCTTTCCTGACTGTTTCCTATGTTATAACTTATTCTTCGGGATTTTGTCCAGCCATAAATTCTCTTTATGGGTCTTGCTCCAGCCAGTTACCTAAGGAGGAGTTGGACCAAGCCCTGTTGAAACATGACCCTTTCTCCTGCCGATCCCTGCACCTTACATCCCTTCTTCAACCTGCCATTTCCGCCTGTGGGTTCAGTCTCACTTGGCACTTTTTCTTCTCATGTGTCTTGGTGTCTGACACCTCGGGCTTCAGTCAGATGCTCTCTCTGCCTTTTGGTCTCTTCTGGCAGCTGGGAGCAGCATCTAGTTGTGTGACAAGTGTCAGAGCGCAGTCACTGTGAAAGGGAGAAGAATCACTGCCGGGAAGTGGTCGGGCAGCCCCGCTCACTTCAGAGCAGGGACGGGGCCAAAGCACCAGCACCGAGCCCGTGCTGTCCCTCCTTAGCAGTAGCTCCAGCTCCAACAGAGCTATGGAACAGCCACAGGTTGCTGCCGTGTGTCCACAAGTGGTACAGTAGAAGACAACTCTCCTAAATAATGCCCATCTGAATGTTTGTTTTGATGGTTAAAGCTGATAATGTCCATATACACATGAATAAACTCAATCAAAGATAATCTCCTGTTGACTTAAAGCTGTTTCAATTTTATGTTAAATTTTCTTACGGTGGGCCCTACACAATGAGGGCTTTATTTGTGGCTGCTCCCACAGCCAAGACTAGGGAGGAAGAGGGAAGAAAGTAAAATAGCAGTTAAAAATCCCAGTTTGTGCTAGGATATGGAGGGGGATGGGTGTCCATCCTAGGAGAGGGGACAAACTTGGGCTTCCATTGACTCTCTAGCACCAAAAAATGTGCATGCAGAGGACAGCTGTGTGTGCAGAGAGGTGCTGCTTCCAAGGCCTTCAAACACAGCCCAACGCTGGGCCGAGAGGCTGGAGGTGAAGCAGCTCCTGCCCGCCAGGATCGCGCCCCCGGGGATTTGCTGCTGCTGCAGCTGCTGCTGCTGCTGCTGTGCGTCCCCATGTGCTTAATGCACAAGGGTAGACACCCTCTACCCGCCTGGGCAGAGTTATGATCATGGCCTCTTACATTTAAAGGCTTCTTAGCAGTGTTAATGAAGTGAGAAGGTCTGGGGGCAGGTCTCTGAAACACTGATTTCGCCTTCCACTGTGAAATATTTTCTTTCTCTAATGCATGTTTTCACAGCTGTGTATTTGCAACTAGACAGTGTTACACATTTGGTGTCAAGGGTACCAAGCTCTAGCAGCAGCAACTCAGTTACCATTTGTCTCTTTTTGCCGAAAAGATTAAACTATGCAGTGGTACGATTTGTTCCTGTCTTCCTTTGTCCTCTCCCTTTCCACCTCATTCATAAGGAATACAGTGACCATAAGCAAACCTGTTTGTCCAGAAAACTTCATTTGTTTGGTCCCAAGTCAAGATAAACAAATGTCTGTAAAGTGATGTCGTTGATTTAACAGCAGGTATGTATTTTTGCTTTCTCGATCATATAGCCAACTTAACATTTCCATTATTTCCAAAATACACATATATTCCTTGAATAGGAAACTGTGCAAAGGTGTGCTATTTGTGACTGAGGGTTTTAAAGGTGGTGGGATGTCCATGCAGTTTGAACAATGTAATCTCAGCTCCATGAATTCTAGAGTCAAGTGGGATCATGTCGTAGAAATACATGGAAAGGTAGGTACAAAGGACCGGCCCTCTCTTTATTCCTATATGTCCCATCCTGTTCAAGATTAACACCATTTGGTGGGAGCAAGTTGTTACTATGACATGTTCATCTATCCTAACCCTATTCTCTCCTCAGTCTTTACCAGCTTTGCCAACTTCTGTAGGTCTGTCTCTCTGTTCCTTTCACACATCTTGCATGGTAGGTCAAACCTTTGCCATAAGGGTTTCTTGACAGTTTCCTACAGTCAAGACAACTGTTTTTCAAAATGCCTTTATTCATGCACTAACTCTACATTGTTTATACCGGTGAACATGACTCATAAATTCCTTGGTTTTCTAAAATAGTCCATTTACCATGCTAAGGCAAACAGTTTACCAAGAGAAGTGCCTAAGAGAGCACATAATCCCAAAAGCAAATTTCATACAAGTCAGAGCCCGCAGATGTTTGCAAAAATGAGACAACAGACTAACTGAGGAGAGGATTTTTTTTCGTGATAACTCTATCCCAGCACTAGTTGATTCACAAGCAAGAACTATAATATTATACCTAATCTGGAACTAGCCTGCCCATGTCAATTATATTTGTGTATTGCAGAAGACACGGTGGGTCTTTGGAGCTGATGTTGCTAATTTAGCAGATGTCTACATGTAGTAGAAACCTCAGTGAGACTTAACTAAGACTTTTTTACCCACTGAGTGGATACCCTTAGCACATAAAGGTCCACATAAGGCTGAGCATGGTTGCTGGTCCAGGGAGTGTTGGCAGAGCGAGAAGGAGAGGCAGGGTCAAGCAGAAACATGTTTGCTCGGGACATGTGCTGGGTAGGGTCCCCATGCACCCTAGGGAACAGCCAGGCAGAGGAGTCTGACCGGAGAGGTGTGTGGCTGAGCGGTGAGGGAAGCAGGGAGACTGCTTTTAGCTCAGCCATGCTGGTAGGAAAAAAGTTGATATCTGGAGCGGGGAGGATGAGACTTTTCTCCATACCTAAAGCCCTGGTGGAAACAATGTGGAAACAGGAGGGCTGAAGAGATGTGGTGGGGCCGGACCCGCAACACAGAGGGTCAGGGTCTTAGTCTAGCAGGAGTGTGGGCATCCCTAATTATAGTCACCTCCAGTTTCTGGCTTAAATCCCGTTAGACAGAGAAGGACATTGCCTCAAGCTGTTGTGCTGTATGGAGAGAAAATCCTCTCAGATAAGAAGCCAAATTTTCTCCACAGCTACTGAAAACCCTTCATGTACCTCCGTGGCTGGGAAGAGCATGGTGAAACACCAGCCAGAGCCCATGTTGCTCTCCTGTCTTTGATGTTGCTCTACAAAGTAGTGCTTCAGGCTCCTCAGGGAGCAGTGCTCACCCTAACTTCGGATTTAGCTGTTTGCCTGGAGCTGTCTGAGTGTCCTTAAAAGGTAGCTTAAACTTAAACTTACAACTTCGCACTTTTTAAAGTTGATTATATTGGTAGATACATTACATTTGGTATGCTGTCCTTGACTGTCACAGATGCAATTACACTGGAAAAAAACAACACAAAACAGAACCAAAAGGAAAATGTGCTTTCAGCGAGAAGAATGCTGGATGGAAAAAAAATCTTTTTTTTTTTTTTTAATGTCCAGCGATAAATTTTGTGTTTCCAGCACTGTCATAGGTCAAGAGAGTCCCCTTCCCTAGGAGAATCTGTGAATCTGGACACTGAAGACTGAAAAGCTAGGGTACTTTCTAAGTGCTTGGGTAACCTGTATTTGCCTTCTCCATGTGCCTGAAACTCCCTTAACACTAGTTTGAACAGCTCTTCCTTGGGCTACATGTCATCTGCTCCCTGAATCAGTGAGGATTCAGAAACGTACGTCTTTTTTTGGCTTGTATCCTTGAAGGATTTGATATGGAGGCCTAATGCACACAGGCACAAGTATGTTCCCACATGGACACAGAGCAGAAAGGGGTGGAAGTGGGGAGGAGTGGCTTTTCTTCAAAGCCAACCCAGCTGAGATAGATAGAGTCCTGCTTCACACGACAGCCTATCTCAAGACCTCCTCACCCATGTTGCTGGCAGGAGTTGCAGGCACTGGCAGGTCCTTAGTCCCTTCTCAGCTTCAGGGGTGTCTGGAAAACCCCAGGTGCTACCAGTTGCTCTGCTAAAGGTTTGTTGCCTGAAGAGCAGCCAGCCATGCAGGAGAGCTGCTGCCCTTGCAATCTGCATGACATTTGTTGGCCACTGGAGCCACCATCATGTTCTAGATCTCCCCCTCTCCCTGCTCCTCCCGGCTCTGAGCTATCCAGCTTCATTTGCCCAGGCTGCCCCCACTTTGGCTGTTCCTTGTCCTGGTGAGTGCAGGCACCACTGACTGCCTGAAGGGAGAGTGTCCAGCTGGATGCCCATGGGGAAGCAGTGGGGTGTCTCGTCTTGCTTTCTGTGTGCATGCACACATAGCAGGGAGCTGAGAGCAAGGACTCACTGCTGCTTTGGGGACCTGCTTTGGGACTGGAAAGGCCACACAGTAAAATGCCACCTGCTCCTGGAAGGTGGCTGGGCACCTTGGGAGCAGCGGGAGCCACGTGCTGCTGTCTGAGGCTGGCACTAGTGCGTGCGGGGCAAACAGGTAGAGTGGGGACAGGGAGTGAGGGAAGCAAGTGGAGAGCAGTTTCTGATGGCAGACCCCCGTGGGGGACGGTAGCCTGTGGGCTGCCGGCTGAAAGGCCCATGTCTAACATGCACCCTTGAGGGCAGAGCGCTTGGCTCGAGCGCCCCTCGCTGCTCCCATCTCCTGGTAGAGCACCATGGCACTGTACCAACGCACACCCCCGGGAGCAGGGACCTTATGTGGCCCCTGTGCCCAGGTTGTCAGCAGCTGTGTCTCCTCCGTTTTTCTTCGTGAAGCTAAATATTTACTCCTGTTTTTGTTGTGGTGGTGGTTTCAAGGTGTAGTGGCATAGCTTTGGGAGTGGAGCAGACCCTCACCCCGCACAAGTGAGGATCCTGATTTTCAGGGCTTTTCTCGGGATGGTGGGGAATGAAGAGGTTCAGTCTCAACAGACTGAGGAGGGAACTGAGCCCACACCTCTCCTCTGGCCACTTGACTAGAAACAAAACGTGTTGGTGGATCCTATAAACAGATGTTATGCACCTTAGTCTGATGGAGCGATCAGTGGTGCCTGTGTTCAGACCGAACCCACAGTGCACAGAGCCACCTCTGCTCTTTTGGTAACCCCTGTGTTTCCTATAGGCGACCTTGTGCAGCGTGTGCTGTCTGGTTTGCATCTGCTCCTGAGGCTCGCAGTCCCCCCATAAAAGTGTTCCCCATAGGGTCAAAGATTTCAAGTCAGCAACCAGGCACCTTATAGCAAATCACTGCAATGCTTCGTTTTTAGGTGCCCAAATTCTCTTGGATTTGCTCAGGACATGTCTGGGCCTTGTGTCTACCATTCTGTATTTTTGAAAAAATCTGTGTGAGAACCACTTTCAAGAAAAGAGAGCAAGTTCAGTCAGACTCAGAGGGAGCACAGTTAAAGGTTTCTTTCACTTTTCTCGTTAGAAAATTCTACTATAGCTGTTTCTTTAGTATCCAGGTGTTCCAATAAGTGCTGCATTTCTGATGCATCTGGAGCAGCAGCAGTAGCAACATCTTTTCCATCACCTAAAGTCCTTTCTTGTGAGGTTGTCCCGGAATCTGATAAAGGAGGAGCAGCGTCAGCATTTAACATCATACCATGACTGTGGAAACTTGGTAAACTCCATCGCTGAGGGCTTCTCTCATGATCCCTTATGAATCCTGCTATACTACTACTCTGCATTTCATTTTTGGACTCCCCTATCACACTAGGAAGTGACTGGTGTGTCTCAGAGTTGGAGTGGTAGGTAGATGTTTCTGGAGGGTCAAGAGGAAGATCCAGAAGAGACACATCTGTCTCAGACAGATTCCCTTGGTGCTTGTCTTCTTCAGGCACACAGGCAGTTTGCAGATTTGGTTTGCCCAGCGTGTCAGGTGTCTTCTCCTCTGTTTCAGAGATGATAACCTCAGGAACTGGCTTGTTTTGCTCGGATGAGCTGTCGCTGTCGCTAAACTGTGTCTCATTCCTAGAGGTTTCTGTTATAGGTCCTAGATCTCTGCTGCTATGAAGTCTATTACTTCTGTCAGGTCCTTCATGCTTCCTCTTGAAGCTGGAGGTGGAATGCCTCCCTCTCGTGTGCATTTCTTGCAGACGCCTGATGTGCCCCTTCTCATCCGCTGGGAAAAACACCGAATTCTCGCTTGTCTGCCGGTTGTAGCGTCGGTGAGCAGGGGATGAGGGACTCTCATGGACGCTGAGAAACCTCTTAACTCTTCTCAGCACCGAATGTTGTCTCCTGTGTTTCTCCTCTTCCCATGGCCACTCTTCCCCATAGAGGAACTCTGTATCAGCCAGCCTGCCAAATAAAGTCAGGCAGTAAGTGTCACTT